CCCCCTTCTATCAAAGCGACAAGAAACTATTTCAAACACCACTTCCACTATCGGCAATGACTCGCCAAAAAACCATGGAAACAACCTCCTCTGCTTTTCCTACTCTAACAAACCAAGCAAGAAAGAAGAATGTATAATGCAATGTACAACTTATTCACAATTTTCATATAAGTTTAATATACAATTAATAGATCTATAACAACATACAACTTAAATACAAATTTCATATAGCTAATTATATAGTATACAACTTATTTATAACTTTCATATAATATTCATCAAATTTAATACAACTATAATAACATACAATTTAAATATAATACATATAATTTTGAATGTGGTCTCTATGAAATTTTGTATGTGATATGAGAAGCTAGGAGAGTTAACGTAAGACGAGAAGCCTTAGAGGAACCAAGACTTTAGAGAGGAATGAGATAAAAAGATATGGTGGAGACGGTTTCGAAGCTTATATAGGTCGGACGATAGGCATGGGGACCCGACGGGTTGATCAGTGTGCAACCGGAATCCACTAATACCGACAAAGGCGTAGCCACATAGCGTGAGATCACCCTTCATTGAAAAATTAGTATATATATAAACTTTGAAAACCTTTTGCGAAAGTCTTAGCTTCGCCACTAAATACTGATCTCATTTTATCAGCTGAATTTACAGTAAGTGATTGTACTAACTTTGGCATTTTCGATTCGAAAGCTATGCGTGGAACATTTTGCTCAGTGGAGTAAAAGGAGTAACGAATTAGATTTCAGATTTCGCTGCCACATGTTTACACGAAGCGACAGGGGATAGCCGATTCATGTGTATTGGTTGTTCCCTATTAAATGTCTAATACTTAGGGATCCGAATCTATCATTAATCTTATATAATTGATAAATTATATACCTAAATATAATTAAGTGATAACCTCTCTAGTGCAAATAAATAAGTTTAAAGATAGCATAGATATATAAATTTACCAAAAGAAAACTCAGAGAACTACATAGGCCTTTCAGAAGATAGTGTCTTTAAAACAGTCCAAACCAGATAAAAATCATCACTGCACAGTGTGTCCACTTGCAAAACAGTCAAAACTTACATTTCCTATTAGCATTACTAGTTCAAATAAACCTTTTCAACTAGTACATGGTGATGTTTGGGGTCCATATAAAGTGCCCACATATGATGGTAAGAGATACTTTCTAATACTAGTAGATGACTTTTTCAGGTATACCTCGATGTTCTTGTGGAATAATAAAGCTGAAACCATTGTTGTTATGAAATAATTTTTAGCTTTGGTAAAGAACTTATTCTATACTAATGTTCAAGTCTTGAGAACAAATAATGGGTGTGAATTTTTCAATTTTCAGTTTGTTGAGATGGTTAAGGAAAATGGAATTGTACACCAGAGTTTCTGTATCTACACACCTCAGCGGAATGGTGTAGTAGAGAGGAAGCACAGATCTCTAAGGTTTCAGGAGTTGTGCCTTTGATGTTTTGGGGGAATGTGTTTCTACAACTGTATATCTCCTAACTAGATTGTCCTCAATTGCTTTGCAAAACAAATCACTCTTTGAGATGCTATATTTATATCATCAAGGTCTTAGGTCACTCAAAGGAACCTTGGTTGCCTTGCCTATGCTTTCGGTCCAAGTGTCACGGATAAGATGTCACCAAGGGCCATTCCAGCTGCCTTAATAAGATATTCCTCCACTCAAAATGGTTATAAGCTCTATTACTTACATTCTAAAATATTCTTTGTTAATAGGAATGTAGTTTTCAAAGAAGACTTATTTCTTTCAAACACTTCACACCTTCTACATTATCTTTATTTCCGGTCTTAAAGTATAGCTTCTCACACTCACATGTCTATCCTCAACCTACACAAGAGGAAGGGGCACATGCATGTCTTCTTCCCTAATTCCATCTACTGTGGTAGATGATCAACCTATTGAACCAACTCAGTCTGATAACATATCAGTCGGTAACCCTATCATTACTTTAATACCTGCTACTGAGACACAACAAATTAAAGTACTTAGAATGTCTTCTAGGATTATTAAACAACTTCTATGGATGCAAGATTATGTCACTACCAAAACATTTGTGTCTATCATCTGTCATATGCCTCCTGTGATCAATTGACATCCTACTATAAAACTACCTTAAACTCCTACTCTTTTATTGTAGAGCCTTCTAACTTCAAGGAGGCAGCTGTAGATCTAAAATGAATTGAATCAATGAAATTGGAGATTACCGAACTTGAGGAAAATAACACCCGGAGCATTGTGGATCTTCCTGAAGGAAAAGTTCTCATTGGATGCAAATGGATGTTTAAGGTTAAATACAAATTATCAAGAGATATGGAAAGATATAAGGCACGCTTAGTGGCAAAGGGATACAGTCAACAAAAAGGGCTAGATTACAAAGAAACATTCTCATCAATAGCTAAGATGGTTATTGTTAGATTAGTGGTGGTTGTAGGTGCTTCTAGACATTGGTTCATCTATCAAATGGATATTCGTAATGTCTTTTTTATTAATAGGGATTTGTCCAAAGCCACTTGGACTGCTCATTGTTCACACAGAAGCTAGGCAGTAATATAATTGTGATTTTGATCTACGTTGATGATATGATCATTACAGGAAGTAACCATGAGTTGCTGATCAAAACCAAGAAAGACCTCCAAAAGAAGTTTAAAATGAAGGACCTTGGGAAACTAAAATTCTTCTTAGGCATTGAATTTTCCAGGTCAAAGAATGGAATACACATGTGTCAAAGGAAGTATTCTCTAGAGTTGATCTTTGAACTTGGCCTAGGAGGGGCTAAGACAGCTTGTACTCCCTTGGAATGCAATCAAAAACTTATCTTAGTTGAGTATGATAGAGCATTTAACAAAGGTGCAGTTCATGAAGATCCTCTACTGAGTAATGGGACATCTCTAACAAGGGTCACTGATAAGATGTCACCAAGGGCCATTCCAGCTGCCTTAATGGGATATTCCTCCATTCAAAATGACTATATGCTCTATTACTTACATTCTAAAATATTCTTTGTTAATAGGAATGTAGTTTTCAGGGAAGACTTATTTCCTTTCAAACACTTTACACAATCTACTTTACCTTTGTTTTCGGTCTTAGAGTATATCTTCTCACATTCACCTGTCTATCCTCAACCTATATCAGATTCTCAACCTACACAAGAGGAAATGGCACAGACATGTCTTCTGCCCTAATTCCCTCTAATGTGATAGATAAAATCAACCTATTGAACCAACTGAGTCAGATAACATATCTATTGGTGACCCTGTCATCATTTCAATACCTGCAACTAAGACATAACAAATTGAAGTACTTAGAATGTTTTCTTGAATTGTTAAACAGCCTCTATGGATGCAAGATTATGTCACTACCAAAACATCCACTTGTGCCTATCATATGTCATCATATATTTGCTATGAGCAATTGACATCCTCCTATAAAATTGCATTGAACTCCTATTCTTTTGTTGTAGAGACTTCTAACTTCAAGGAGGCAGTTGCAGCTACAAAATGGATTGAAACAATAGAACTGGAGATTGCCGAACTTGAGGAAAATAAC